GCTCTGTGAACACTAATTAGTTAGCATAAATCAGTTAAATGACGAAAAATTAGGTGTCTTATTTACTTGTGACCACTCAGTGTATATATTAAGCAGACATTCTGAATACCTATGCGAAAGTGTGAAATCCCATACAAATACAGCAGATACACCTAAAAAGATGCACGTTTATGTACATGCATATGTTTTGTTCCCCTACATCCTTTAAAAACTGAACAATCACGTTACTTGTGTTTGTTGGAAAGCACATAGCTACACATTTTTTTTTTTTTTTCACTGCCCACTGTACATATCAAAACTTGATTTTTAATCTTCAGCATAATAAGCCCACCGACTTACCGTTGAGCTACAAGAGGCCATTTTATTATTTTAGTGTAAGACTACTTGGTATTGGTGAACAATATTACATCTGGGTATAATGTCTTGTAACTCATAATTGAATTGATTTATCAACTTATTCTATCAGTGAGAAAACCTGTTCGAATGTTAATTTTTTTAATACAGATTTCAATTTCTTAATGAAAAATATGTGTCTAATTGAAAAGTTTAGCATATTTGTTTCAGATATTCACACACAGTTACACAAGAGCCATCTGCATTAGCCATCCATAATTTTCAGCTAACAGACAATAAGAAAGGCAGCTAAGTCAACAGTAATCATCACCAATCTTGGGCTACTCTGATCAAATATTGTAATTTGACCTTCACTTTCATAATGCACAAAGCCCCATAGTGGGAGTGTGATTTTACAAAAATGATATGCAAACCATGGGCCTATAGATTTACAGTCCATCACAATAAACACTAGAGGACACAATCACCCTCTGAAAGATTAAAAATAAGCATCAGCATTGGTTCTCCATTAGGTCAGTCTCTACAAAAATGTCAGTTTTTATTGAAAAATGTACTGAATTAAAAGGTTATACAATATAGCACTGTCTCTTATGTTACCCATACTTTTATTGTATATATATATTTAGTTTTGTTAACAGAACTCTTGCAGTTTTACTACTGACTAGCAATTTTGTCTGTCATCATAACCATACAGTGAGAACATTTCCAAGTAAATGTATTTTATTGGGAAAATTTACAACATAATTTTAAAATATTTTCAATTCTTCAAAATTGTAGTATTGTCATAATTTTTTTTATAAATCCAGCACAAAAACACTGACATAAGATGAAAAGAAATAAACAAAACCATCCCTTACATTAACACTATTTCTATTGAAAAATCTTGGTCTAAAATATTGTTTTAGCAGTAATACAAATAGACTGTAAGTGATAAAAAACTGACAATTGTATGTATGCTAACTCATAGAACATATTTAGGTCTTGAGCACACCTTAGGGTATTGTTATCATATGTTCCCTACTTCAAGGAAATGTTTCATGTTAGGTTTATTTCACTAACACAGTTACTGAAACAGTGTAATTCAGTTAAAATGATATAGTATCACAATCATTATGGGTTTACACTACAATTCCTTCATATATAACCACATGCATCTCTACTAGGGATTGGTTATGTACGAAAAATTAAATAATAAAAATATAGGCATTATTTTAACTTGATAGAAAGAAGAACAAAACCTCCACATTATCTAGCAATCCACCTAATAACACTAAAGTGGCCAGTTTGAGTCACACTAGAGCTCTGGATACAGTCAGGATTTAGATAACCCACATCAAATTTTAAATAAAAACTCAATACAAGTTTACCTTTAACACTGTAACATCCCCACATTTCAAATCTGACATTTTTAACCTAAAAAATAGAAGTCTTACCAGTAAATAATCACTATCTAAATATATGTGGTCAGTTTGTTTCAAGACACTTTTAACAATTTTCTCTATTCAAAACAAACCATTGGAGATTTTCTTAGTTCAAAGCAAGAAATTAACTCAATATAAGCAATATTAAACATATACCTAAAGACGTTTCTATTGCTGAATAATTTCATACTTACAAATCATACTTTTCGTCCTTAAGAATTCAACCTCAAACATTTATAACCACTCTGCTGCAATACAGCAGTTTTTCTTAAAAACCAAGGAGGAAACTTTTGATCATATATACTAAAAATTTCCTCGTTAAGAGGAGGAAGTCTTGTTTCTTCAGGCTAAAAATTTCTTCATGAAAATAAAATTTTAAACAAGCTAGAAGAATAAATACTGCTTCAAAAGATGTGATGTCAAAAAATTTAAATTGTTTCCCCATTGCAGTGCAAAATATTGAAGACAAAAAGGCACAAATTTCCTTTCAATTTTATTTGGAACAGTTGTAAACGACGAGTTTAACTGTCGTTTTTCTTTTGTTAAACTATTCCAGGATCAATCAATCAACAAAATATAAAGATAAAATATTGGTCAACAAAAGTTTTTGATATGAGGAAATTTGCTACTTTTTCATCTCTGTATGAGCTGTCAGTAGAAATGACACTGAAATTTGACTATAATTTCACCATCAGAATGGTACATACTTTTAGGCAATCATCATACAGCAATTGCTTAACATGTTGGGAAAACAAACATTAACTTCATAAATAATATTAGCTATAATCCCTATATTCAGTATCATAGTTTCACATTGCATGTACTTCCCTGTGAACAAAAAAAAATCATGTCCCAAATAAAGAAATATTTCCCAGTGAATAAAAGTAAAATATGTTGTCTCAAATAAAAGAAACATGTATTTATCTATTTATAATATGTGTGTGTGTGTTACAAGTATACTTCATCAACTCGTCTCATGTACACACATGTAAACATTTCACCTGAATTAGCATTCAACACACCTGCACCTATATAAAATCATGAAGCAAAATAAAACTAAATTAACATTTTTCTCCCAATTTCTAAAATCAAGTTTCTTTGTAGATCTTACTTCATATATATTTGGACATACCAACCAAGTTCAATAACACTAGGTACCAGACAGATTATCAATGGTTCTGCTGTTGTATTTAAGCAAACGATCAACAAACAACAGAGACAGGTAAAAGAAACAAAATCCTTTAATATAATACTTTCTTCAGGATGTAGCTGCAATATGTATTTCAGTTATAGCAAGACCTTTTCTCATTTCAACCATCATTCTATCTACACATTTATTATAGGTACACCTTTTACAGATCAAGTTATTCATGGCTATTTTTCATTCTCTAGGTACACCTTTTACAGATCAAGTTATTCATGGCTATTTTTCATTCTCTAGGTACAGTTTTTACCATAATAAAGACATTTTTGAATTATTTCACAGAAAACCAGTAATCACATGTTCTTGTTCCACACATTTTCAGATTTGTAAAACATTTCTATAATACTTTCAGTTCTTGAATTTCAAAATCATTTCTTCTATCTCTGACTTCAGGTATATGAAATGTACAGATGTATGACTTTATAGTCAAGGTACCAATAATCAAGTTTTCTTAAATCAGTAACCATGATCATTTACCATTAAAACAAGAAAAACATCACAAGTTTTTCTATATCTGAAACTCATTTTGATATCTGCTGCTTCAAGTGTTGCAGAAATTCATAGTAGGAAAAGGATGACTCAGATCTGTCATCGACCATATGTTGAAGAAATCTGTACCTTTCTTTACTGTCTTCCCTAAATTAAATGAAAAAAACTTACAAATTAATTACACCATGTTTCCATAATATTTTAAATATATGGTATTTCAACCTTAAAGTCAAAATATTAACATTTGTCTTTGTGTGTTTATTCTCTTAACAGTATTGTTTTAAGAAGGTTTAAAAATCAACAAAGGATGCCATTAAGTTGAAATACCAAAGAGTCACACGAGATTTCTCTAATTCTGGAAAATATTTACTCCTTATTTGATTTGTCCTATAAAGATAACTGAATTCCTTGGCTTATTATCTTTTAAACAGATGATATAAATAGCATTTCAGCTAAGACTTTGTATGATGTAATCCAGCCAGCCCTATAGGCTCTAACATTAGGTAAAAGTCCTGTATGCAGTATCCTAAAACAGAAATATATATATACAATTGAAACAGTTATGCATTCATCTTTCAGAAAATCTGTAGTGACAAGTAAAAAATGTTATTTAGAGCATTATCACTTAATGTGATATTATATCACACACACATCACCACAAGTGCAATGAATTACTCAAAGATATCAAGGTACATGTTCATTTTATTTTAATGTTAGGAAGTATAAAGTATGGACTTAACCACTTAAAATTCTATGATAAATTTTATCATTTTAATTTACAAATTTCTACTTAAGAAAAGTAATCCTTCTTTGTTCTAACTTTTGCACACAGTCTTTAATATCAACATATTCAAGTTATTTTTTTCTTTTCTATTTTACTTAATAATCATGTTTCTGACAAAATATTGAAAACCCTCCTCATTCTACTTATTTTTGGTTTCTTATCAAGCACTAGATTACTCAAACTAGCTGTAAACTACCAAGTTCACACCTTTGAAGAAACTTTACTCCTTGTTTACATGGGAGTCGAGGCAATATTGTAGACTGCTCTGAATCTTCAGTGGTTTTAATTGTTAATCTCTAAAAATATAAACTCTAAGATTTGTTTCTTCATTTGAAGTTAAGCACAAAGCTATACAATGGGCTATCTGTGCTCTGCCCACCATGTATATCAAAACCTGGTTTCTAGCATAATAAGTCTATAGACATACTGCTATGCCATTGGGGAGCAACTATGTAAGAACAAAAACATCTGAACAATATCCAATTGAAACAATCTTTCCAAGACCAAGCATGACTTCAAAAACATTTTGTACTCAAAGAAAATCCTTGGTAAAGGTTAAGTCTAAATGAAATAATTAGTCACTTTCAATACATACCTCAAAATTAGTAAAGGACTATAGAATGGCCGCTGGGAAAGAAGCCAAGATACAAAGTTCCTAAGTCTGAGTGATTCTGGTGTGTCAAGCTCTGGTAGATCAGTCTAAAAAATCCAAAATTCATTTCTAGTACAAAACCCTGTTGTTTTTTTACCTTACTTAATGAAAACAAATTAACAGTTTGAGCTTTAATATATTTAAAATAAATAAATAATTACTAACAAGTAATTAAACAAATATTAACCACCAAAATTATTAAAGCATCTACTCCACTTACCAATCCCTCCTGAATTGCTCCAAATGTTGGCACTCCTAGAACACTTGAACAGAAGTTATTGCTGATGTCTCGTCTAATAAAAAGATACATAGAAACTGCTGTATCTAGAACGTATGCTCCTGAACGATCTAATTTCTCAAACGTTAGCTGAAGTATGGGAGGCTGAGGAATTACTGTTCCTTCATCAGTTTGGATGGAGTTCTGCAAAAAGAGTTTAAATTTGATTTTTTTAATAATAAAGGAATAATTCATTTACTTTACTTCAGATAAAAGCTTTAGTAATATTTTATTTCATTTCTAAAAACCACACCACTATTAAAAATAAAATTATATGCTCTAGTTTTAAAAAAATTGACACTGAATTTCTTTCAGAGAACTTCTGAAACAGGAATAAATTAATCATGTTTATTTATTTGATGCGATATGGTTCATGAAAAAAAAAATGTAAATCCACATAAAGAGGCCTTGTTACATTGTCATCTAAGGAATGCACTGGATACATCCTTGGGTAGATATACATCATCAAGTAAGGAAGAGGCATAGACTTCATCTGTTCCATTGCAAAGACTCTTTCATCCAATTTTGTACTAATACCTACTCGGAATGCCACCTGAAAACAAGAACAGGTTTCTAATTCATTCACTCTGTTACAACTATGTAATTGAGAATTTTAGATAATTATTACTTTGCACATTTCCTGAAGCCTCATTTACAAATGCCAAGGGTCCCTAAAGTTCAACTTTTAAGTCATACACTTCTTATATTATAGACTATCAAATTATACTGAAAATTTTATAAATAAAATACAAATCTCAGTCGTGAGGCATTTAATTTAAAATTTAATTATCAATATCTATGAGATAAACAAGTTTTTCATTTATCAGATATGTATCAGCTTATATATTCAGTATACAAGGTTAAAGCCCACTTCCAGGATGATGTTAAATTTTGCTGTAGCCTTAACAGTGTGTTCTACACTTCTGTCACAGATTTTAAGTGAGACCAAAAACTGTTGAAAGGCTTAACTTACTGCAGACATTAATAATCTGTTTGGAATATCAACAAAACAATTACTAGAAATATTGTTGCCAGTGCTCTAAATATGAAGTTTAGTAGAGAGAAAAGGCAACAAAAAATATGTTTCAGCTTAGCACTATCTCATGAAAGTAGCTTCTGCTTAAGAATTATTTTAAACTAAAGTACAATTGTTTTTCATGTTTCACTTTGTGAAAATTTCAGAGGATTTATGCTCAACATTTTATAATTATTTTACACTGACTTCATAACAATACACAAAACATCAGCAACTTCAATAAATAAGGTATGAAAAAACAACAACACCAAAAAACAAGTTACGACATGTGTTAATTAGTTGTATGAGACTAACAACTGTACTTACATTTTTCAACAAACCTAATAAAAAGAGGGGCAACAATTGAGCACAATGAGGAATCATAAGTGCTCCAGCTGTCTGGCTGACTGCTAATGTTTTGTGGTAAATACTCAAATAATCACTACAGGCATTGATCAGGGCATCTCGTGCATCAGTGAGAGAGGCTGATATACTTCTGTCAACCGCTTGATACAAAACAAAATGTCGAGAAGTTTCAATACATTCATGATTTAAACTGACAGAAAGTGTACTGAAAAAACAGTACATTTAAATCTTTAACTTGACAAAACATGCTATCAAGATTTGAATAAATCAACATAATTACATGTTTAATTTCAACATAAGTCAAATATTTGTGTATGGAAGCCCATTATGTTAATATAACAGTAACTCACACATTTAAACTCTAAATTTTAAAATAGTTTTTAACACAATGGTTAACACTGATTTCCTTAACCAAAAATAATTATCCAATATTACATACCAAATTTACTGTACAGTTTTTCAACTGAATTTCCTATAAATGAGTAAAATGTGACAATACTGTATTTTCTATTTACTTTCCAGTTAACATACCCATCTTTGCCCAAAGACCAACAATGGCCTCTTGATCAGTACTTCCTAATAGCTCTGTTACAACTGCTACTACTGGAAGGCTCAAAGTATGGACACGGATTCTTCTTTCACCTGATTCAATGATGAGTTACAAAACAATGTTACTACTCACGATACACAATATGTCACAATAGACAGTACTACACAAGATGATTAGACTACAGAATATTCTACTTAATCTAGTACAGTAATACAATACATGCTCAGACTACACAATATGTCACAATAGACAGTACTACACAAGATGATTAAACTACAGAATATTCTACTTAATCTGGTACAATAATACAATACATGCTCAGACTAAACAATATTACTACTCACGATACACAATATGCCACAAAAGACAGTACTACACAAGATGATTAGACTACAGAATATAATACTTAATCTGGTACAGTAATGCAATACATGCTTAGACTAAACAATATTACTACTCACGATACACAATATGTCACAACAGACAGTACTACACAAGATGATTAGACTACAGAATATAATTCTTAATCTAGTACAGTAATGCAATACATGCTCAGACTAAACAATATTACTACTCACGATACACAATATGTCACAATAGACAGTACTACACAATATGTCACAATAGACAGTACTACACAATATGTCACAATAGACAGTACTACACAAT